TGATATCATCACCCACTTTTCCGAGTTCTTCCCACTCTACCAGTTGCCCGAGCGTGACGCTTTAACGGCAGTTTTCGCAAAGCGACTTGACCCTCTGACATTTTCATCATTTTATACTACTTACACTATGGGATTCCAAAAAAATGTTGCTTCTGATTTGCTCATTGAAATTTCCCTCGTATGCGCTCGAGAACTAGGCGACAGGACCGTGATAATTTCAATTTGCCGGTCTGTGAAATATGAACGCCCCTTTGACCAGGCAGAATATTGTCTAGCCGATGGCCAAGTTCTAGCTTCTAGTGACTATGCTCTTTTTAGCCAGGGCTTTTGCAATCGGTAAGAAGATCTCGTTTGATTATAGGCTTACCTTCAGCCAGCGGTCTTGCAGTAGTAACCAAGGGGCTCTTGAGGTCGACCTGAATTGTTTTCGACTCGATTACTGATACTCTTCGAAGTCTTCAGTCATATATCAGAGGAAGTTGCTGTTCAATTAGGCAAAATCTCACAGCAAGCCAGTCAAATCCAAAGCCTTACCCTGAATTTCTGGGTTGCCGTGTTGTCCTTGACTTCGAAGACGTTGTATTTAGGATTCAGGTCCTCCCCTCCATGAGCATAGTCGACGACACCGAAGTCCATCAGGAAAAACCAAGTACCGTCAACCCTTTCTGAGTCGCTGGCTGAAGTGAAAATAGAAATCGGAGTGCACTGCTTCTCCAGGTGAAAAGTAACAAATTTTTTCAGTAGTCGATCTCTGAAAGTAACTGTCTAATAATTTGGAAATAGTCAGGTCCCCCCGAGAGAGATGCAACAATCCCGACCTAGCCTGAAAGGCCTAAATTAGTGGTAGGGTTTGGGGACAGACGGTACCCACGTCTTTTCCATGTTCACTCTACCACATTCATCACCATATATGATAAAATCGTTCGGTATCGAAAAGCTTGGGATAATTCGTCTAAACTTTTATGTGATCAGCTATAACGGCGGTACTTACTGGTCGCCGCAGCAAAAACAATGCAGAGAGCAATGAGCGCTTCCTTGAACATCTGAAATTGAAATCTTCATTGTGACGTCAGGAAATTTACCCACTCTCGTAACGACAGGCGCGAAGGGGTTTACTCACTTCTGTTCATCTGAGAATAGAAACAGAAAGGAAGCTAATCAAAAGAGCATGAGACGTCTAGGGAAACCTTGCTTGCCAGAATGAATTTTTGTTTATTATTGAAACATAGAGGTGTAGTTATGACCTAAGCATCCTCAGCGCGCCGCATTACTCTTCACCTTGTAAGGTCTCGAAAATTGTGATTGAAATAGCAGAGAAAGACTAAGTGCTAGGAAAAGCAAGCTTGAAGTGAAACCAAGCGAATCGGCTTTTGAACGAGTGGTATATAAGGTAGTATTCAATAGACAAGTCTCATGGCGGATTCTGGGGACCAGACAACTCTTTTCCCTAGTACGAGCCAACTTGTAACTTTTGAAGCCAGTAATGTCGTCGTGGCCTCAATACGGAATTGAAATATGGTGTGATAGAGGGAGTTCCAAGGTAAACCTCATGCTAACGTTACATTGCAAGTTTCATCGCAGTGCTGATGTTCGCTGCATGTGAATGCCCTTTAGAGCCCGGATGGAGTCCCTATTATGCCCATCTCAAATTACAAAAGAATTACACAGTACCATATAGCAAAGCTCTATAATCTAGAATGAAGTATTTCACGATTAAGGGAGGGCTAGAGAGGCTGCTATTAGGAGGATAACATTCCCTGCTGCTCCTAGAACGAGGAAAAGTGGCTTCTCTACGGAGCTACGAAGAGTGGTGGAGAGGAAGAAGCCTGTCTCCTTTTCAGCCACCCAGCACTGAAGATATCAGAGTAAGGTTATCAAGGCTGAATGTTGCCATCTTGCCCGCGAGGAGAACTTTATATATCGGAGAAATGTGAAGCCACCCAGCACTGAAGATATCAGAGTAAGGTTATCAAGGCTGAATGTTGCCATCTTGCCCGCGAGGAGAACTTTATATATCGGAGAAATGTGAAGGTAAATCAGGTGACCTGAACGTCATCGTGTGCAAATCCGAGTCGACTTACTTGATCTTCCTTCATAGCAGCTGATAACTCTTCATTATCTGATTACGCGACCTGTGAAGAACTTCGACGTCGGAAAGATCCGGGTTCCTGGTAATGCCCACTGACAGGTGGAGCTGATAAAAGGATTAGTGGACCATAGGATCCGGAGGTTGCATTACAGTGTTGCTGGGTTTTTGCGAAAATAATGAAGAAAAGTAGAGTCCGCCGTTGTAGATAGCTCTTTCGCCGAAGTTTCTGTGGTTTTGTTTGAAGTGATTAAAATTCTTCTGGATTGATAGCCATACTACCATATTACCTTTGGAAAAAAGCAGAAAGATCTCCAACTGCTTCTTTACGTAGCTGCAACTTGTGCAACATCGGCCAAGATCGTCCAAATATTCTTCCCTTTTATGTTGTTGCACACCAGTGAAAACGAAAGAAACGTACAATCGTACAAAAGATCAAGTTGTCGACAAGATACAGGCCAACCTCGTCGAACAGCTGGTCCTAGAATTACAAAAAAGAAAAAATCGAAAAAGAAAAATCTGATCCAACAGCGCGTGAATTTGCCTTAACTGATTCTTCAGTCGAAGGATCAGAATTTCCAGCCTAAAAAAAGGATCAATTCATATCAATGGAAATAACTGGATGCCATCGGAACAACAATCCCAATCGCCGTCCTACTTGAGATATTCCTAAAAGATTTCTGGATATGCAAGGAAATATATTTACTCAGTAAAAAACATAAATAAATCTTTTTCATAGTCTTTCATTTTTTACACAGTTTCATTTTAATCCCTTACTATTTGCTATGAGTTGCGTCTCAGAGAAATCCTTGAAAAAAAAATTGGGCTGGTCCTTAGGAGCAGACAATCAAGCAGTCGCACCTCAAAAGAAAGGTCAGCAAGTGAATACACAAGAAAAACCAGTAAATCATGCTCAGATAGATCAATGACTGATTTTTTGCAAATCTACATCAACACCCAGAGGTAAGAATATGTTGGTGACAGCACTTTGATGCTGTCGTTCTCAATTTTCCGATACTCTCAACGAAACGGCGTCTGAAAGAATGAACGAACACGATGCCTTCACCATAAAAGTCCCAGTTCTTCAATGCAAATCTGATTCTAAGCAAGCAGTCTTCGCAACAGCAGGACACAGCCTAAAAAATCCGGAAGAATCTGTTCGTTTGTCGTTGAAGGTGCGCAAAGGCCCGCGCCAAAGAAGTCCTCAAAAACTTGGAATCCCAAATGTGCAAACGAGGACGTGAGTGTTTTCTTGACATAACGTCGGAAAGGCAACATCGTCGTTCAGAAAAATGGCTCTTTTTGGAAATAGCTTGACCCATTTGAGGTTCAATCTAGCAAAAGAATCACAAATTTGTCTGGTGTTTTAAAAATTACTTTGGGCAAAAGTCATTGATAAACAAGGAGTTTTTGTGAAGTACCGTGAGTAGTGATTAGTATGATTTGCGTAAGTTACAAGCTTCATGTGTACTCCAGGAGCTGTTTAGTCTGGACTTCTAATGGAAACAGCGAGTTTCAAGCAAAAATGAGCCAACTGAAATTATCCTTGCTTTATGCCTGGTTTTTTGGTGCATAAAGTTACAACTTTCTACATATCCGCATTGTTTAATATTCGTACCCGACAAATACATTTGTGGAGCCATGCTAGTAGGTGCTTTATGCATCATTTCAAGAAATATTTATTATGGCAGTTTGTTCATCGCTCCGGAAGAATTCCAATCAAACAAAACCCCCCTAGAAATTCCGGCGAAAGAGCTAACTACAACAAGTAACTCTCCTTTTCTTCATCATTTTCGCAAAAACTCAGAAATACTGTAATGTAGCCCAGGATCCTAAAGGTCCACTAATCCTTTTATCAGTTCCACCTGTCAGTAACCATTGCCAATAATCCGGATCTCTCAGACGTCGAAGTTCTTCACAGGTCGCGTAATCGGATAATGAAGAGTTATCAGTTGCAATGAAGAAAGATCAAGTAAGTCGACCCGGACTTGCACAGGATAACGTTCAGGTCACCTGACTTACCTTCACATTTCTCCGATATATAAAGCTCTCCTCGCGGACAGGATGGCAACATTCAGCCTTGCTAACCTTACTCTGACATCTTCAGTGTTGGGTGGCTAAAAAAACAGATTTCTTCCTCTCCATCACTCTTCACAGCTCTATAGCAAAGCCACTTTCCCCTCCTCCAAGAAATGAACAACACTGGCCCAGAAGTCGTGCCTTTCCCTCTACAGTAGGAGCACCAGGGAATAGTATCCTAAAAATAGCGGCCTCTTCAGCCGTCCCTTACATCGATAAAGGTTCCACTCTAAATTTCAGAGGTCTGTTCTATTTTCTATGGTGCAGAGCATTTCTTTCCTAATCTCATATGAGCTTAAAAAGGACTCCATCCGGGCTCTGAAGGCCTTTCAGAGACAGAGGATGTCAGCACTTGCAATGAAACTTACAATATAACGTTAGCACGTGGTTTACCGTGGAGCTCCCTCTATCACACCACCTTTCGATTGTGGACTGAGGCCATGATCACATTACTGACTTCAAAAAATACAAGCCGGTTCATACTAGGAGCTGTCTGGTCCCCAGAAATTTGAAAAAAAAGCTAGAAAGAAACTTGAAAGCATGAAACTTGTCTATTAAATACTACCTTATATACCACTCGTTCAAATGCCGATTCGCTTGGTTTCACTTCAGGCTTGCTTTTCCTAGCACTTAGTCTTTCTCTGCTATGTATTTCAATCACAACTTCTAGATGCTCCAAAGTGAGGAGTAATGCAGAGCGCTGAGGATGCCTAGGTCTTAGCTTCTACTTGTTTCCAATATCAGATGAACTGAAATAAGTGAACTCCTTCGCGACCGTATCGATCGATCTCGAAATACCCGAATTCAGACGTTCCAATGCTAATTTCAATTTCAGATGTTCAAGGAAGCGCTCATTGCTCTCTGCATTGGTTTCGCTGCGGCGACCAGTAAGTAACTCCGTTATTGTCGATCCCATGAAGGTTTAGACGAACTATCCCAAGCTTTCGATACCGAACGATTATGGGTGGTGATGAATGTGGTAGAGTGAAAATGGAAGAGACGTGGGTACCGTCTGTCCCAAACCCTGCCACTAATTTAGGCCGGTCAAGCTAGGTCGGGATTGTTGCATCTCTGTCGGGGGGACCTGATTATTTCCAGATTATTGGACAGTTACTTTCAGAGATCGACTACTGAAAAAATTTGTTACTTTTCACTTGGAGAAGCAGTGCACTCCGATTTCTATTTTCACTTCAGTCAGCGACTCAGAAACGGTTGATGGTATTTGGTTCTTCCTGATGGACTTCGCTGTCGTCGACCATGCTCATGGAGGGGAGGACCTGAATCCTAAATACAACGTCTTCGAAGTCAAGGACAACACGGCAACCCAGAAATTCAGGGTAGGGCTTCGGATTTGACTGGCTTGCTGTGAGATTTTGCCTACTTGAACAGCAACTTCCTCTGATATATGACTTAAGACTTCGAAGAGTATCAGTAATCGAGCCGAAAACAATTCAGGTCGACCTCAAGAGCCCCTTGGTTACTGCTGCAAGACCACTGGCTGGAGGTAAGCCTATAATCAAACGAGATCTTCTTACTGATTGCAAAAGCCCTGGCTAAAAAGAGCATAGTCACTAGAAGCTAGAACTTGGCCATTGGCTAGACAATATTCTGTCTGGTCAAAGAGGCGTTCATACTTCACAGACCGGCAGAGTTCAATTATCACGGTCCTGTCGCCTAGTTCTCGCCAATTTTTTTGGAATCCCATAGTGTAAGTGGTGACAGTATAAAATGATAAATGAAAATGTCAGAGGGTCAAGTCGTTCTGCGAAAATTGCCGTAAAAGTGAGATCCTCCGGGAACTGGTAAAGTGGGAAGAACTCGAGGAAGTGGTTAAGCTGGCTAAACTCTGAAAAGGTGAAAGTTAACAATTCTTGTTAAATGCACTTCAGTAGTGATTACAGAAGTGGTGTAGGTCTTGGGTAGCAGAAGTTTGTTCTCCTTTGACGATGCATACTGATGTGCTTCTCAGTGTATTGTGCGATTCACATATTTCCAGTTGATAATGAGAAATTCTGTGTTGACAAACAACTCAGGACTGAAATCGCTGAAGCTGTTAAGGATGCTGAGGACTCTTGTGAGGTGAGCATTCCAACGATTCCTCACACTCTTCGGGAAGGGAGGTTCCCATATAAAAACATTATCGGCCTCTCCGTCGGGAACGGAAATCGAGAGTCTACCTGCAGCAGACTTGGATTCATGTACTTGTTGGGTGCGGACCCACTTTTCACGGGACCTTCATCTGACCTTTTTCGAGTAATAAACAGAAAAAGTTCCTAGTCATTTACAATTACATCTATAATAGGGCGTGTACAACACCAGGCTAAGGCTTCAGGTCCATTTCATGACATCATTCAGGGGCACGTCAAAGCACTCGCCAGCAAACTGAATCGTCCTGGATGGGCCATGAACTGTGTTTCTCGATCGCCCAAGGGATACAACTTCGGCTTCTTTGGAGAGGTTCTTTTTGCACCCTCCTTACATCTTTCTGACTTTGTCTGTATAACACTATGGTAGGTCTTAGGTCTCTTTTATGTCGCTGCAAAGTTTGAAGTGTGCCAGCAGCTCACGCAATTCTTTCTTCTCGGCTTAGTGTTCACCCTCATTCCACTTTTCTACGAATACGAATGGATAATTCAAATTCCTCAAGAGCTTACCCTATAGAAGGATCACCATATGGGGGTTGACGTAATTCATTTAAACAAACATCACACTTCCCAAGAAAATTTGGAGCGATCTCACAATTTGTAGGTGCTCATTTTGTGAGGATTTTCACTCTCTTCTCACTTTTATACTAAAAAGTTATACTGAAAATCAGAAAGTGATCACTTTGTATTACAGGACGAGAACTTCTGCCACTTCGATGCCGTCAAGGGTGGAAAGACCTACTCCCTCACCGTGGTGAAGCTCGACAAATCGGAGCCACAGCCAGAGCCAGAAGCGTGAAAACTCTTTCAATAAAGCAGTTTTAAATAACTCTGTTTTGGGCGGTGTACCAAAACTAGTCTCCAAGCCACATACTTAAACGAACACTTGACAGACAGACAGATAGATAGACAGACAGACAGATAGATAGACAGACAGACAGATAGATAAACAGACAGATAGACAGATAGACAGACAGATAGGTAGATAGACAGACAGATAGATAGATAGACAGGCAGATAGATAGATAGACAGACAGATAGATAGATAGACAGACAGATAGATAGATATACAAACAGATAGATAGATAGACAGACAGATAGATAGATAGATAGACAGACATAGAAAGACAGACAGATAGATAGACAGACAAACAGATAGATAGACAGACAGACAGATAGATAGACAGACAGACAGATAGATAGACAGACAG